AGGTCCCAGGAAGGAGGCAGAGCTTCTGACTGACAGTGGTCCTCAAGTCCCTGAGTGTAACCTAGGCAACCATCATCATCATCTCCCTCGCATCACAGGTAACATATACAGCAAAGCTAGGCAGAGGCTAGTACTACATTGCTCATCTGGGCGGCCCCCAACATGAGTGATTTTCAACTAAAAGCAAGTGAAATTAGAGGATTTATCTAGAACTCTTCTCAATCATAGGCTTGGATTTCTCTTTTGAAAACTCAAGCCTCTCGCACTACCCTGGCCCGCAAAATTGGCCATTTGCCCCCAAATCTCCCTCTTCTGTCCCCTTTTCTCTGTCTTAATGGGTGAGGGCAGGCATGGGTCGGACCCACAGGTGGGGACAGAGAAGTTTACTTCCCTCCTCTCCCACAAGGCCAGCTATTCCACCCACACTCCACTCCATTACTCATCCACCTCTGCTGTCTCACTGGCCTCTCCACTAGCAAATACATGCCAGGTTTTTCCCTTAAATGCATTGGAAATTGTCCCCATGTCTCACTCCTGACCCCACCATCCCCATGGGACTGAGACAGGAGAAAAGGTGAACAATGCTCCTCAAGAGGTACTTTTTATTTCTCTCTTTCTACTGCTGCCCTGAATGCCTTACTGTCACCCACAGCTACCTCACGCACTGCACAGCGGCTCTGGGAGATATGTGCTTTGGCTGAAGTGGGCCCCAGCCATGAGTCCACCCCAGATAACTCTGCAGCATCTCTAGACGATTCTGCCTCTCTGCAGCCCACATGGATCAAGCCCAGGAGGAATCCCCTCCCCCAGCCATAACTGAATCCCTCCCTGGCCATTCCTGCATGCAAGCCCACATCTTCATTCCCCTGGGAACAGTTTCTCTCCCACCTGGAGTGGTCGGCGCTGAGTTGCTCTGCAGCAGAGGTCCCAGGGCAGTCCCTTTCTGATGACTTCAGCAGGAATAGGCCTATCTTGCCTATCTGTGATTTCCGTCTTCAGAAGGCTGGCCTTGTACATCAACAGTATGAGACCCCGAAGGCCACTGGCACCAGAAGTGGGCAGCAGGTGGAGCTTGTAACACTGAGGGAACTAGCAGTGGGAGAATGAGGACAGAAAGTAGCCGGAAGCCACCTTCTTTGACCACTGAAGAACATCAAGGGTCTGTTGGCCCCTGCTGGCCCTGGCTGCCAGGAGAGTGCAGGGGGCTACAAACCACAAGAACTCAACTCTGTTGGCACTACGAGCTTAGGGCTGTTGACACTGCAGATAGCTATGGTGCTTTGCCTATTCATGATTTCTATCCAAATTGAACACAAGAACCCCATCTTGGTGCTGGGACCACCCATGACTTCCATGGGGACTTATGCACAGGTACTGCCCTAGCTCCTGCCCCAGCTGTCCCCTCCTTCCTTCTTAAGAATTCTGCCCTCCTGGACTCCTGGAGTGCACCAGCCCCACCCCCAACCCCTGGTCCATTTGTTCCTGACCTCCCCAGTCTCTCAGGCCCAAGTCCATGGCCCTTCCTCCACACACAGTCCCCAGGTGGTCCCCTAAAGCCATGGGACACACATACATAATTTATGTGTTTAACAACTCCCAGGCCCCTATCAGTGGCTCCAGAGAGAACTTCCTGTCCATCCCTGAAGAGTCTTTTACCTCATAGTCTGGGAAGATCGTGCTGAAAATGCCCTACTCTACGGAGCACCAGATTCAAGTTTGTTCTTTTTTCTTTAATTTTTAAGCTTTTTAAAAATGTCTTAAAAAAAATTTCTCAAGCTTTCACAGAGAGCAAATTGGTCAAGCAATGACTGTGACTCATCCTCATGTCAGACACTGACAAAAGGATGTACAAAGGGCAGTACAAGGCTACAGGATAAAATCCTGAGAGTACTTGGCTGACCTTATCAGATACAAAAGTTACATTTCTTGTTATATAGGTCTTGCTATATCTTGGTCTTAACCATCCAGCAGAAAAGTATAAAAACGAAGTATATAAAGTAAATCTATATTAATATGATGAGCTGTAAAAGGCTCAAGTCAATAACTTCTGAGGATAACCCACTAACATTATAGGCTGCTAGATAGTATTAGATTGTTTAGTTGAATTCAAACACCTATAGTATTTAGATGCCAATAGAATATTCACCTCTGACAGGACAAAAAAAAAAAAAAAGAGATACAAAGGAAAGATCATTTTGTATTTATATATACAAAATAGGATAAATTTACAGCTACTTTCGCTTAATTCAATAAGAAGAAAGAGGTGTACTAACAGTGTTTGGACAGAATATCCTGTCTGCTTCTTGTACTATGGAAAACCACTAAGAAGATAACAATGTACAATGTATTGATTATCAAAACTGTCCTATTAATCAGCTGTGAAACTCTCATTCATATTTCTCAATTAAAAAAAATGAAATAAAATTAAAAAAAAAGAAAATCATCTAAAATTAAAAAGAAAATAGAGTCTCACTACACAGTTCAGACTCATAGTGATCCTCCTGTCTCAGCCTTCACAGGGCTGGGATTACATGCGTGCACCACCATACCCGGTTCCAGGTCAAGCATGGTGCTCCTGGGATTCTAAGTCCAGCACAGCATGCAGTACCAGGGATTGAACTCAAGACCTTCCACTTGCCAGGCGGGCGCTTAGACTCCTGAGCTATCTCTCCAGCCCTAAGTTTGCTCTTTCTTTCCCAGCGTGACTGGGAAAAGCCATCTACGTGGAACTGAAATTCTTCATTCTTCCACATCTTCCCCACCTTCTCACCAAATGTCACCATAACCCCCTTGTCCAGGCCAAAAGTCTGAGCTGTCCCGAAGTCATCTTTCCTCACCACAACCCCCTCTTGGCCCAACCCCTCCACCTCCACTGCAGTATTTTGTCCCCAGAGAGACTGTCTAACTTATGGGTCACACCATATTCCTCCTCTGCTGAAACCTCGGGGTCACCCAACTGCCCTTGGAATGCAGCTCCTGCCAGGACCGCGCACTCTGCCCAGTGCCCACATATCCCGAGGCCACGGTGCCCTTAGTCACTCTCCACTGGCCACCCTGGATTCCTCCTCAGCCGCGAGACCTTTGCCGTGCGGCTGCCCTTTCCTGCACCCCACCCAGCCCTCGCAGGGTAATCTCCTGCAAATCAGGGCAGCCAGATCACCTTCTCACCCGCGCTCTCAGCCGTCCACCAGCCTCCCAAGGTCACTCAGCAGGGCTCTGGTTCTCTCTCTCTTTTTTATTTATTTATTTATTTATTTTTACATGTATTTAGTACAGGGTCTACAGGGTTTCACTACACAGATCAGACTCATAGTGATCCTCCTGCTTTCAACCCTCCCAGCGCTTGCATTACAGGCTTTCACCCCCATGCCCAGACTCTCCCTGGCTCAGGCCCCCCAAGGGCGGAGCCAGCTTAAAAGTCAATTGCTTTTAAAGAAATTAAATTGTGACGGGGAAATATTTAAATTTACCATTTCTGATAGAGCTCTGGTTCTCTCTATGAGTTTAGTTTGTCTCCCTCTGGAGCATTAAACTCTACCAGTCAAGGAAGACTCCACACTCAAGGAGGAGGCAGGGACCAGAGGCAGGGGACCAGTGAGGGACTACTGTAGAAACACAGGCAGAGAATTTAATAGGGGCCCCAAGTAAGCAGAGGATGAGAGGAGGGTGGGTCTGCGTACCACCTGGCTGACAAGCCAGGTATGGGGGTAGGGGGACTCCGGAATGGCTCACACTCCTGCGGAAACACACAGTTGGGTACTGGTGTCCTCATTGCAATGGGGAAGTGGGAGAGGAGGTCGCGTCGTTTTGAGGTGGTAAGGTACCTGTGACCCTCCAGGTGTGTCCTGGCAATCAGCACCAGGCCTGGCAGGCAGAGGGCTGGGATCCCACAAGAAGCTCTGGAGCAAACGAGGTCTCCAACCGTTGGAACCGCACAATCTCGGGGCGCTCCCTGAGCCCTACTTCCTCCTCCTCCCGCTGGAGTCCCAGCTCTGCATGCTTCACCAGGATTGCGTGGGCACACAGAACTGTCTTTGCACAGAAGGGTCAATGACCAAACCTTCTTGAGTAAGAGATCAACCTTTTCTGTCCTTCCTGACATCCCTCTTCCCTGGGGAGACTTGGCTGTAGCAGACCAGTCCCCCTAAGGCCTGGCCCCAAAGAAGCTTCAAAGGGGTTGAATATAAGGAGATCTGTGTGCTCCTAGGCACCCCTAGTGGGCACTGCTGGGTACAAGATGTGGAGGATGCTGTGGGGCACCCACTGTTCCTCTGCCCAAAGCTGTCACATGGATCCCTGCAGTGGGCTGAGCCCCTGCCCCTGCCATGACCTGCTGTGCTCACATTGACCCTGCAGAAAAGACAGGGCCCTGGCCTGAGCTGGGGGGATAGAAAGTGCTGGCTAGGCCCCAAGCCAGGAGTGAGAGAATATGACTGTGTCCTCCATCACGGAGGGCCTGGCTTGTGAGCAGGAGAAACAGGGAAGGGCAAGAGGCCCTGGGATCGGAATAGCCAGGGAGGTCAGAGGGCTGATTCCCATAGGACCATAGACAGGTATTGGCCAACAGGCACCTGACCCCTGGAGCCCAGAGTCTGGCTGTGCAGAGGACTTTTCCAGGGGCCCACACTAGCCCTGTCTCGGGAGGCCCCTACTAGGCTCCAACCCTTGGACTTCAGGCCACCGGGGGAGAGAGGTAGATCTCCTGGCCTGGAGCTAGGACAGCCAAAGATGGCGGTGTGCGCTGCAGCCAGTGTTCCCAAGGACTCTATCGAGCTCTCTGCGACAGATTCACACCTCAGCAGAGCCTGATCTGTCTCATCAGGATCAATTCCTACACTGGCGTTTCCCCTCCTGTCCTTCTTCTCTGCTTTCTGTTTGTACTTAGCCTCCCTCGTTGTCCTGTATGTTCCCGGAAGGCAGGGAGCCTGGCCGACTCAGGTTGCCAAGGGAAGTGTTTAAATAAAACATAGCACAGCGGCAGTTTGACTCTTGAACAGGAACAGAAGGAGGCCTCATTGTCCCATCCTTACTGAAGTCAGCCGGGTATCCACTGGGGGCCTGGGGACAAAGTGTGGTGTGGCCGAGGAAAGGGACTGGAGGAGCACCCACAGGAAGGAGTGGGCGGGTGGACTCCATGCTAAATGAAAGGGCACAGAAGAAAGAACAAGGTGAGCCCTGCTGTAAAGGAATCTCACGCTCCCTGGGTGGCCATGGCAGTCTTGTGCCCCACCTTCTTTCTCTGACAGGTCCATGTCCTACTCACATGCACCACCCGGGCACACATGGTCACGTGCCCATGGGTGCAGCACACGGACACACAGCACACGTGCCAGCCCACAGCTTCCCCCATGCCTGGGTCTGCCTCAGGCCGACCCACCCCAACCACAGAACCCAACTCTCACAAGGGGTGGCCCTCCTTTCTGCTCTCAACCTCAGTGCCTGATGATAGTCAGGAGGCCGAGAACACTGAGGGAGGTCATGTCTAAGGGAAGAGGCCAGCAGAGAGGAGTCTGGGAAGCAGGGGTCTCTGGCTAAGCTCAAGAGCCAGTGCAACAGGCACTTCCTGTCCAGTTCAGAGTTGAGTGGGTGGTGGCCTGGGAAGCCTCTCCACCTCCGGGAGTCCAAAGAGCACAGGTGTGGCTGTCTGTTGAGCCTCATCACCACAGGGCCAGCCTCCTCACCCAGGGCCACCTGCTTGCCAGCAGGGCTCTCTCCAAGGCAGCAAGCAGAGAAGCCGCTGCCTTTCTGCCAGTAGCACCTGACCACCCAGTCCCTTTGGGGAACCAGCTACCAGACCAGTTCGGTATCCAGGTAAGGGCCTGTCTCCGGGAAGATCAGGGCCTGGCCCTGCCTCAGGGGATCCCAGTGCAGCCGTGGTAACACAGTGCCTTCCCAGGCCAGGGCCTGTCTGGTGTAGCCCAGGGAGGAGCTTAGGACTCAGTTGGGGGTTGGTGGGCTAGGAAGCAGAGGGGAGCTCCAGAAGTGGCTTTGGGGTAGCTGCCCCAGTGTTGGGCTTCCAGCTGTTGCATTTGGGGGACAAATGGGAGAACGGGGCTGGCACAGCCTCCCACACTCCAAGGGGGTCAGTGGGCCAGAGCCAGCTTCCCTGCCTTTGCTGGGGTCCAGGTCTTTGTTTTTGTTTTGCTTTTTTCCTGGAACCAGGGATTGAACTCAGGTCCTTGTGCTTGCTAGGGAAGTGCTTATTCCACTGAGCCATCTCCCCGGCCCCGGGGGGGGGGGGGGGTCCAGGTCTTTGGCAACAGCTATTTCTGCACAGACTCACTGGGATCCACAGGGACTACTGTGCTGGGGGATTTAGGGGACAAGGCCGCCTTCTCTCCTGCGTCTGGAATCAGGAAGTGAATGTCATGCTCACCCACACTGGGGTGGGGGTAGGAACAGGCTTCCAGGACCCCTCCTTGGGGAGGAAAGGGGTCCTCATAAACAAGGGAACAGAAGTCCATCCTCCTCCTCTATAAAATCCTATCATCATTCACGAGAGATTCGTTTGCCCAATCGCTGAGTCTTATCGGAGCCTCTGTAACTATTTCCATAACAGTCCTAATAAATGGGTGTGGGTGCCTGCTTACACTTTGCCCAGGATACTACAGGGCTCTACGTCAGGCGCACACGGAGAGGCATGGAGACCCACAAACAGACAGCTGTTCATGATGATACATTCCTCGTTCGGGTAACACGCCCCACTGACTCATGGCATGACTGACACCCACTCGCCCACACATACACATACCCCGCATTTCATTCCACCCCATTCCAACAAATGCTCGAGACCCACTCTGTGCCTGCCCCCTCCCCAATGATGTGTGTGTGTGTGTGTGTGTGTGCGTGTGTAATGTGGTATGTGCAGTAGGCAGGCCTGGGTTCATTCTCTATTAAATAATCATGGTGACTTCAGGTGTAGTGCCCTCTTTGAGTGTCAGAGGCCTAGGACATGCAGTAACTAAGGAGAATAACAATAATCCCCTCATAAATTTGTTTGGAGAATTAAAAGAATTATAGAAGGCAAAAGCCACAGAATAGCGCACAGTACAAATGGAAGACAGTGGAGCTCATGAGCGGCTTTGAAGTGCCTCACGGCCCCCTGTCCCTAGCTCAGGCCCTGTAGGCACAGCTAAGTGGAAGGCTCTCTGGCTGAGGTCCCCGCCTGCAGATGGTTCTGGAATCCCAGCCTTTGGGTCTGGTCCCAGAGGTCCGGGTAGGAGCAGTAGCAGCTTTCTGCCCAGATGTGCCAATGTCATCTTCCCCCTCTGATGACTGTCTCCGCTTCTCTTGGGACTTTAGGGAGCTGTCCTCAGCAGTACCACCATGTCCCGGCCCAGCAGCAGAGCCATTTACTGTAAGCATCCCCCACACCCTCTTCTTTGCTCGTTGGGCTCCTAAGCTGAACTCCCTGCCCACTCCCCACACGCTCCAGCCTCTCCTTCCCCACTGACCACTCCTGCAACCCTCTAAACTTCATCTCACCCTTATAGTACTTCCTGTCCATGTTTTGCTTTTTTTTTTTTTTTTTAATCCCACAGTGCACCGGAAAGAATATTCCCAGAGGCTGACCTCAGAGCCCACCCTTCTGCAGCACAGGGTGGAGGTGAGCTCCTCTGGGGGCCCAGGCAGGTTCTGCCTAAAGCTAAGAGCTCCTGTGTGTCCACAAGCCCGCCCCACCCTCAAGCACAGCAGGCACGGCCCCGATGTGGAAGCCAATAGCCTGACCTGGCCAAACTCTGTGCGTTTGGTTCCACAAAGTCTGAAGCCTAACTGAGCACCTGCAATATGTGGGGGGCAGGAGGGGAGGTGGGGGGTTGGCAGAGCCGGGGAGGGTGAGGGAGTAGATATCGGGTCCCTAGATCTAAAAGGGTAGCAGAAAGATAGGCCAGGAAGCACCTAGAATCACACCACCCAACCCCACTTGTTTCTTTACCCACTTTTCACTACACCCATTTCCAGAGTCAGTCTTTGCTCAGGACCAGGTATGGCTAGAGGAAGAAAGTGTGAGGGCTACAGCCCTGGGTGGGGGGCAAGTAGAAGAGGGGCTGTGTCTGGGCCTGAGCTCTGGACAGGCTGTGGGGCTGGAATGGGGCCTCTGGCCCCGCCCGGGAGGAGGATGACACTTGCAGATTACCTACCGGATTATCTTCCAGTCACCTGAAGGGCTGTCACTACCACACCAAAAGCAGAGCAGAAGTGACAAGGCTGTGGCCAGAAAAGCGCACATCACTGAGGATGTGTAGGGGCTAGAGCATGGGGTGTTAGAACTACAGTGGAGGCAAGCATCGAATGATACTGGGGCGAGAACTGACAGCCCCACAGGCAGTGGAGCAGGGGTCCCTCAGCTGCCTGGGGGCCAGGAGAATGAGAACCTAGCTTTTGTGAAGTTGCATCAGTGAGCTGGTATTACTGCTGCCCAACAGCAAGAGAAGACATCTTCAGAAGGACGGGGGTGTCGGGATTCCATGAACTGCTGGCAGTGAGAAAGTAGGGAGAAGAGCCGTCCTGGGCTGGGACAGAGGATCAGGTAGCAGAGGACAGACTGCCTCTACCTGGAACAGGAAACCAGACTGAAAAGAGGGCAGCTCATGATGGCAGCACGTGGCAGGCAAGAGGGAGGATTCCTAGAGAGTGGCGGGTAAGAGCAAACCCCCACAAAACAGTAGGCTCGCAGTCGACTTGAGGGGAAACAGTGGTGGTCTCCGAGTTGGAATCAGAACATGGGCTTGATCTTCTCAAAGACCAAGGTGATGGGTTGCCAGAGATGGGCAAAGCTTCCGGCCATCGGGAGCAGTATGTGAAAGGCAGAGAGACAGGAACGCTGGCTTGCGGAGGAGGAAGGCATGCCCAAGGGAGTCGGCTGTCAATGCAGCGAAGGAAGCCAGGGCCAGACCTGAGGTTCCCCTTCCCCTTGGGAATTCAGACATCATTTTTTTGGGGGGTTCTAGCCCAGCTACCTCACAATTGTCCATCGTTTGGAGTCCAAAGCACCTTGTGCAGCGCCTCAGATATGGGCCTGGATACCCCGTTCCTAGGCCAGCTGCTTCTACGCTGGCCCTCACACTGATCTGAAGAGTGCTCCCCTAGGGGCCCGGGACCCCAGAACAAGGGCAAGAGGGACATGCATCCCTCCTCTTCTGTCTTTCCCCTGGCTTCCCACACTTGGTGCTTTTTCTCCAAACAGTCCCCCTGCCTAGCCTCTTCCTCTCCCTTTAGCACCTCATGACATGTAAGCTGGGAACACAGAGAATCCAAGAGCCCAAGGATGTCCTGCAGAAGCTTCAGGAGATGGATGCACAGGGCCGGGTGTGGAGCCAAGACTTGATCCTGCAAGTCAAAGATGGCTGGCTCCAGCTGCTGGACATTGAGACCAAGGTCAGCCCTCCCGTGGAACCCAGCGATGGGCCCAACACAGCCCAAGCTTCTTTCCTCTACTCCTCCGTGGCCCAAACAGCAGCCACTCCTGCTCACATACAACACACACCAGACCTAGGAAGGAGCAGGGGATGGCCCGGAAGCCCAAGAGCTGGGTAGATGGCAACCAATCTTCAGCCACCAGAGAGCAGGGCAACCACATCGAGAGCTCCCAGGAGCCAAAGCTGGCTCACGGTGGCCTCACAGTTACCCTCTCTGCTTGCCCCAGGAGGAGCTGGACTCTTACCGCCTGGATAACATCAAGGCCATGGACGTGGCTCTCAACACTTGCTCCTACAACTCTGTCCTGTCCATCACTGTACAGGAGTCTGGACTTCCAGGCACCAGCACTCTGCTCTTCCAGTGCCAGGAAGTAGAGGTGAGTGACCAGGAGTGCCAGGAGTGGGGTTCGGTGATCACCGCACACACACGCACACACACACACACACACACACACACACACACACACCCTCCAACCTGCCTGACTGCTGTTTCCTACAGGCACAGCGGCTGAAGACCAGCCTGCAGAAGGCCCTGGAGGAGGAGCTGGAAGAAAGGTAGGCAACCCTTGCCCATCCACATGTGGCCCCTCAACGTCCAGGCCTCAGAGCCAGAGCCTCGCCCCACTCCTTGAGGAACTCAGGAGTCTCCAGCACAGTCCACCAGGCCTACAGCTGAGGTCAGGACAGAGACTGGAGAGGGGAAAAGAACTGGGCCCACCAGACATTGAGGATGTCCCTGGATACTGCTAGGGGACCCAAAAAAGCCTGGGGACCAGGCGGATGAGGCAGAATGGAGTCTGAGAAGGTCCAGGGACAGAGCAAGGAGCAGCATGGGCTTTCTGGGGAGAGGTTTCTCTGTCCCAAGAATCTTTTCAAAGACACATCCTTCACCATGTCTTCAGCAGACCTCGATTTGGAAGCCTTTACACCGGCCAGGAGAAATGGAAGGGGCCTCCTCTGGAAAGGCCACTCCCTAAGGAGCATGTGCCTCCCCCAGAGCGGGGGTCCCCTCCAGAGCAGCTCCACCGAGTGACCCCAGAGCACAGTAAGTTTGGGATTTGTGGGCAGGTGGAGAAGACTCAGACCAAAAGTCAAGCAGCTCCAGGCCCTTGATCTGCCCCCATTGCAGCTATCCCACCATCCCCGAAGCCTCTGCCGCACTACCCCACTGCCCACGACCCAAGTGCCTTTGCTCTGTCTCCTCGAGGGCGGTCACCATCACCTGAGCAACCAGGGAGGGACGAGGTAACCGCAGATGGACTTGGGCTGAGGCTCTCTGAGCCTGGGGTAGAGGAGGACAGGAACCCCTCACCCTTTCAAGAAGACTGGAGCTGCTGAGCAGCCAGGGACAGCTGGGGCTGAGGGGCACAGGAGAGCTTGGTCAGCCCTGAGGCTGGGTCTGAGGTGGGGGCTTTGGCAGGCAGAGAGCGGATACAAGGTTAACACAGTTCAGGGTGCTCTAGCTGCCTGTTCAAGGCTATGGGTTTGGGGTCTCAGGAGGTGCTGAACCACGTCCTAAGGGACATCGAGCAATTCGCAGGAAGGCTGAAGGAAGCTCAGGCAAAGACCAGCCGTAAGAAGAAGAAGAAACTTGGAAAAAAGAAGAACAAAGCTCAGGGGGGTGAGTGCTGCAGGCCACGGGAGAGGAGCGGCCATCAGATTGAGCTGTGACCCCGCCTTTGCCTCTCCTCCTCAGGAATAACACAGGACCAATACATTGACTGCTTCCAGAAGATCAAGTACAGCTTCAACCTCCTGGTCCGTGGCTCCTGCAAGTCCCCAGCCCTGTCCCTGCTCACTGACCATACCCAGCCTTTCCCTTCTCAGCTTTTGCTCCTCCTGATGTGTTAGGGAGGGACCAGGCTCTCAGCCAAGGCATAAAACAGTTGTGCGGGTGCTGGGGTCCTGAAGACGATGTCATAGGGTACAAGGTGATGACAATCATTATCACCCTTTGTCCTCAGGGGAAGCTGGCCCTCAGGCTTACGGATACAAATGCCCCTGAGTTTGTGCATATTCTCTTCCAAACGCTGGACTTCGTGAGTAAGGGGAGGACAGGGTATTGAAGAGGGGCAGGCCAAGGACATAAAAGAGCAGGGCTAGGGCAGGGGCAGGGGCAGAGGAGGCTGTGAGGTCTGCCCCTTGCTCCCCCCAACACTCCACCCCTGTGGTACCTGGTACCCCCTCACCAGACTTGATGGGCTGGGGTCAGAGCCAAGGGCACCAGCACTCTAAGGGAGACGGGCTGGCAGCATCGTAGCCAGGCTGGGCCCCTGGACCCTTCCCCACTCTATCCGGCCTAGGCTTCTGATGCCATCCATCTCACCCCAGATCCTGACCCAGTGCCCTGAGGATGGACTTGCAGCTCAAGTGATCTCTCCCCTCCTCACCCCCAAAGCCATTGGCCTGCTGCAGTCATGTCTAAATCCATCTGAGAGCAACCTCTGGAAGGGGCTGGGAACAGCCTGGACCACCAGCCTGTAAGTGAAAACAAGGCCTGAAGCCAACCGGAAGTGAGGTACACAGGGGCCAGAGCATGATGCAAGGGGTGTCCAGGCATTAGGTCGTCGCCAATCAGAAGTATTTCAATTTGGGGGACTCTACTCAGCTTTTCATGTGTGGTCAGCTTTTCATGTGTGGTCTGTTTAAAACAAAACAAAAACACCAGTTCTATGCACAAATGAAGGAAGGAATTATCTCAGCATAATCATAATCATCATTATCATTATCTTGCCCCGGAAAGTAGAGACACAAACCTGCTAAAATATTTTCTCATTTTAGGAAGGACAAAGTAAAAACTTTGTTTTTTTCCAGCTTAGAATTTAAGAGATTCTGTAATATCAAAGCCATGGCAGCCAGAGACGCCACCCTCCATCCCACCCCCACCCCCGCTGTCCAGAGCGGCAGGGAGTAGGGATGGCACTGGCTGGGATCCCCTGGGGCCCTGGGCCGGATGAACCCTTAGAGGCCAGCAGCCAGGCCCCAGGTGAGAGGACGGCCTGGCGTGTGGTAGAGCGGTGAGGACAGAAGGAGGCTACAGTGTGAATGAGCAGCACCCCCCCCCGGGGGGGGGCACCCCAAATGTGCTTAAGCAAACATATCTGTCCTCTCCATGAGGGAAAAGGCAGAGCCTCGGGAAACCGTCACATAGAGATGTCAAATGGAAAAAGGGCTAGAAAGGCAGAAGGCGCCTGGGACAGGCCTGTAATCCCAGCACTCTGAGAGGATAAGGCAAGAGGACTGAAAACTGGAGCTCAGTCTGAGAAATTTAGCGAGTGAGACGGTATTTTTTTAAAAAGCGAAGGGCAAAGGAATGAAAATAAAGCACAGTTTTAGAAAGACATTCAACAGAGAAATAAGCCAGCCTTTCTAGCAAGGCTTTTCCCTAATGATCAGTGCTTTTCAATTCAGTCCATTTAAAGGAGTTTTTGTCTGTTTGTTTAAAGACCAGAATTAGTTCAATACAACCTACTTTTATTATGGTAGGATATACATAAAACTTGGCATTTTAGGCACTTTAGGTATATAATTCAGTACAGTGAAGTACATAAACAATGTTATACAATCAACACCAGATATATTTCTAGAACTTTCTATTGTCCCATATAAAATAATCTGCACCCATTTAACAATGATCTCCATTAGTCCCTCTCCCCAGTGTCCTGATTACCACTATTCTACTCTCAGTCTCTAAATTTGGCTCTTCTAGAAGCTTCATATACATGGAATCAGACTTTGTTTCTCCTTTTTGACTGACTTTGTTTCTCCTTTTTGACTGACTTTGTTTCTCCTTTTTGACCGATTTATTTCACTCAGCATGTCCTCAAATCCATGTTGCAGCTTGTGGGAGAATTCCCTTCCCCATCATGGTTGAGTTGAGATTCCATTGTATGTCTATCTCTTCATTTGTCAATGGTCACTTGGATTGTTTATAGCACAAATAACCTATTGTTAATGTGCTGTCCTGATTTAATCACTAGACAAAAGAACTGATGGGTTCTAGGGTAAGCAGCAGCGGTTAGCTGCCCAGAACGCGGTGCTAGCCAGTCTCCCAGGGCTCCTGCGGCCCTGCTGGGCTCACTGGGGGGCAGCCTTGGCACCTGCCTTGTACTGGGGCCCTGCTGGGCTCACTGGGGGGCAGCCTTGGCACCTGCCTTGTACTGGGAAGGAAAGGAAGCAGGGGCTCTGCAGCAAATTCCAACAAAAGGGCCCCGGATAATTTTATTCAGCCCCTTTAGCACCGAGTAACTGCGTTGAATATATCGTTTTGTGTTCCAGAATTCAGCCTCCTTTCAAGGATTGGAAAGCTTAGCAAAACTAGATATGAGACAAGATCTCACTCAGTTGCTAAGTTGCCCAGACTGGGCTCAAGCTTGTGATCCTGACCCAAAGTTATAAGTAACACTAAGTACTGTGGTAACCGAGGAGGATAGAGGCCACACAAGGCTAACAGATTGGACAATCAGGAAACTGTCGTGGACTCATTTAATAAAGCAATGGCAGAGGCAGAAATTGGGCTGCAGGAATAAGGAGAGGCCAAGGCAAACAAGTGCAGGCAGGGCCTGTAAGCACATTCCCAGGCCATTTGGTAAGAAGATTGGAGGGCGGAAGTTTAAAAGCAGTCATAGCTGAGTCACGGGAAGAGCTGAGCATGTTCCTAAGGCAGGGGAGGCATCCGTGGAGAAGGTTCAGAAGAGGAAATAGTTTCTCCATTCCTTCTGAATAAACACTTATTATCTGCTGCCTCTGTACTGGCCACAGTGCTAGGGAGCCGGTCCTCAAGGAGTTCGACAGCGTGAGAAGGATGGACAGGTAGCAAACGTGCAAGAAAGCCCGAGAGCCGCAGCAATCCAATGATTTACAAGTTCAGAGGCATCCTGACCTCTGCAGGAGTGAGGCAGGGGCAGGACTCCCCCGGAGGGGAGCGAACAATCCAAGCTTTGCAGGCCAGGCCCTGCTGGTGGGCAAGGGAAGGCTGAGAGGCAAGTGCAGGCCCCATTCTAGTGCCAACCAGGGCGACACTGCCATGACGTGTTGTATGTGGAACAGTCCCATAACACTCTAACTAGAGAGAAAGAAATCAGACTCTGGGACACTGCCAATGGGTTAGGAAAAAAAAAGTACTGCTTCAGACACCACAGGGTTTCTAGCCTAGCACTCTGGGTTTTACAACCCTAATTCTAATCCTTGATCTGGATGCCAAAGCGTTCACTGTGTTCCCAGGGAGACGGTGAAATGGCACTTTGTGGGCAGAGAAACTGGCCCTCAGGTACCTGCTCCATGGGGTTTATTCATGCACAACTGCTCCTGTGCATGGGGACCATGTTCCCACTAGCTGGCAGATCCCTGATGCACAGAGTGATATGGACTCTGCTTTGTTCTTCCCTCAAGGGCCGACTGGACAGGTGAGGAGCCCCCACCCTACCACCCCACATTCTCTGATGGCTGGCAGCCTCCAGAGTCCTCTTTCCAGGTGAGACGAGCTTGGCACAGAGCGCCAAACAGCACCCTGGTCTCTGACTACTTCTGCCTTCCCAGTCCAAACTGTCATTACATGCCAAGTGGTGGGTGGGCAGGTGGGTATGAGGACCTGTGTGCACTGCTGTGGGGGCCCTGGGAAAGGGACAGGAGGCAACTGTGTGGGAGTAAGGCTGCGGTCTGATAGCCCATTCCCTATCACCACACTGGCTGCCTCCTGCTCTCGCTTACTCTATGTTCTGTCCCTTCCAGGCACCCATAAGACACCAGGACTCCGATTCCTTCCGGTATGACTTAAGCTTAGCAGGGACTATGCAGTCATGGGGGAGGGGCCCTAGCCTTTCAGCCTCTGAACGCTACATCTCAGAGACTCTCAGGGCTCCCTTTTAGGACATGTGAAAATGCATTCCTCTCCTACATAGTATGATCAGTTTTGTACCCTCCTAGGTGACAATCCCTTCTTCATGGTACTACCCAAACATGCCTCTGATTTCCCAGAGCATGGGTAGAAAATATTCAAAGCAAAGCTCAGACATAGAAAATTTCACTGCTGGAAATGTCTACAGAGCCCTCCTATCTGCAGAATCCTCTGCCCCAAACCCCACTTAACACCTCTGCCACCACCCTAGAAGGGAACCGAAAAGTCAACATTAGACAGCAGTTGGGGGCCATCTGGGGATCCTGAGACTGGGGCTGGGCTCCATTTCTGAGGCACACTCTCCAGCCTCCCCATCTCTGTTTCTCATGGCAGCCATCCTGGATTAAATAGCTCCCCACACTTTGCTGAGGACGAAATATACAACCATGGCCGCCATCCCGAGGACCCCAACCACCGCTCCTCCAGCCCCAGACCAGGAAAGCCAACTCTGAAAATGCAAGTCCTATATGAGTTTGAGGCGAGGAACCCGCAGGAACTGACTGTGGTCCAGGGAGAGGTGCTGGAGGTAAGGTGTGGGCTTGAGGCTAGAAGGGAGGCAGTGATTGTGGGAGCTGCCTAGAGTGGGTAGTATGGACATGAGGCTGCCTTGGTGGTGGCCAAGAGAAGAAGGAAAAGGAGAAAGCATGAGGCAGGGGAGGGGAGCCATCCCAGGTGGGGGAGGGAGGCCATCTAGACAGAGACTGAGGTGGCTGACATGGTGACTCTTGGCAGGTTCTGGACCAGAGCAAGCGGTGGTGGCTGGTGAAGAATGAGGGGGGACAGAGCGGCTACATTCCCAGCAATATCCTGGAACCTCTGCAGTCCGGGGCCCCTGGGAACCAGGGCCAGTCATCCCATCGGGTACTACCCAGCCTGGGCTATCCAAACATCCGTTAGTCGTGGGTCAGAGATGGGGGTGGGGAGGACTTAACGACAAGTGGAGGAGCCATTCTTGGCTTGATTTCGTCCACATTATCGCATATTCACTGGGTGCCAAGTTTGTTTTAGGGCTAGACAAGAGAACAAGGCAGGGCCAATGCTAGGCCAGAGGATGGTGGGGTAAGATAAGTGATTGGAGGGGACTTCGGAGAAGGGACATGAGTATTGGGATCTGTGGGTCTGTGAGGTGCAATGGCCTCTGATTTCCACCCCACCCCACTCTAGGCGCCAATGCTTCGACTTAGCTCAAGACCTGAGGAGGTCACAGCCTGGCTACAGGCAGAGAACTTCTCCACTGTGTGAGTGCCGCACTCAGAGGGTAGTCATGGAAACCCAGAGAGCCAGAAAGTGCAGCCTGGCTTCCACTGTCCATGGCCACTCCATCACAGGCTGTCTCTGCTTGACTGAAAGGACACAACAGGGGGACACCTAAGCCTAGATTAGGTCATCTGTTGAAGAGCCCGGCACTGGCGAAGGCAGCAAAGATGGGGTAGTGAACTTGGGAAAAATCTTGGCTATAGTTCGGTCACCCCTCCACACCAGACTGTTCTTTCCCAGAGCACTTCCTCCAAACCCACTCCTGGAGTTGGCTGAAGCCAACCCAGTTCCGCACTTTCAGGTGCCCCATTTCGTGAACTCTTCCATGAGCCCCAACCTCCAGCCCCACAGGCCTCCTGTCTCCCCAAATACTCGGACCCAGCCCTTTCCCACTCACCACTGGTGAGCTCTGCTGTTTTGTTCACAGCACAGTGAAGACCCTCGGGTCCATGATGGGAAGCCAGCTACTTCGCATGAGACCTGGGGAGCTGCAGATGCTGTGTCCCCAGGAGGCCCCACGGATCATGGCCCGGCTGGAGGCTGTCAGAAGGATGCTGGGGGTAAGAACATCCTGGGCTCCTGACTCCCACAGGAAGGTCTGGTCCTACATGCATGGGAGTAGAAGAGCTAGGTGACAAGCCAGCAGCCCCAGCCCTGGGTAAAACTGAGTGCCGCAAGCCCCGGGCCGAGGATATTCCTCCAGGCTTTGTCTTTCTGCATTCAGCTGCCTTGAGACTCCAAGCTTATTGGTGGCATGAGGTCTGGGACTCCCTCAACTGGCACCAGCCCCACCTGAATTCTTTCCCTCCATCAGATAAGCCATTAAGACACTTGCTGAGAAACCTCCAAGACCAAGGACTTCACCTTACAGGATGGAATACTGGATCCACTTTTGAACCTGAGAACTCCAACCTCCCAGTTTACAGCAAACCACACATCCCAGCTCTCTCCGCAACAGGGTGAACAGGCCCTAGTGCCGCAGCAACTGGTACCCTTCCTGTGCTGTTAGGAATGCTTCCCAATTTCTACCTATTTATTTTCCCTCTTTCCTAAACCCGGCACACTTATGTCTAGGCTTGTCGGGAGTCCCTGTCCTTCCCAATAAAAGCATCTTCAAGCCTGTCATGTGCCTCCCTTGCAGATTCTTCTGGGTCTGGCAGGAGTCTCGGACAGGGTGGCAGGAAGGGCTGGGGATAGCAGCCGGCCAGGTTGTCTGAACAGGAGACAGAATTCACTGTGTGACCTGCAACTGGGCACCAGCTCTGGAGAACTGTGGTCCAAGCTCTCCTTACTCTAAGTGAGCTCCCTGTCCACACCTTCTGGCCTGGGCCAACCACCAGCCCAGCTGAGAACACGGCAGCTGTCTTAGTTACTCTTCTCTCGTTGCTGGGACAAATACCCGACACTCAAAATGAAGGAAGGAAAGGTTTATTTAGCTCACAGTTACTGGAGGTTTCAGTCCATACTCAGCTGGGTCCAACGCAGAGCAGCACAGAGCAGAAAGCAACCTTTCATGGCAGCGGCAAAGAGCAAGAGCACAAGGGAGGGGTAGCAGCAGCTCAAGCAGCTAGCTTCTCTTCCCACCTTACATTGTAATGCAAATTACCTGCCCCAGGGTAGGGGAAGTACTCACACTTATGGGTACTTCCCAGTATTTACCCACCTATGGGTAATCCCAGCAGTACTAAAACCCATAATCCCAGCCTTGGATCACACATAATCCCAGTGGATCATGAGTTAACACAAACTCTAGAAGTCTTCACCCCATGACTGCATGAGGCTTTGGGGGGACAACTAGACACAAACCATAACAGCAGCGAAGAGTACAGGGCTGGCCGCTGCAGCTGTAGTCATCATGCCGGCTGATGCCCTAGCGGAGCAGCAGGAGCCAAGTCACATGCTCCAGGTGCCACTTACTAACTTCATCTTGCCGTGTGACTTTTATCCCCTACCATCCAAGATAAGCTGAACTTGTTTCCTCCACAGTTTGCCACTTCAGTGGCAGAGCAAGGAACCCTGGCCTGGGAGGTAAAAATCCTCCGGTCAGCTGTGTGAGTTCTAGTAAGCCGTTCCATCGTTCTCTCTAACATTGAGTTTGGGTTGTCTGTGGCTTCTAATAGCTTTTAGTGTAAGTAGCCTGCTTCAATCTCAAAACAGTCATAGAATGAACTTCTTTCTCCTAGCAGAAGTCCTTTTTTTTTTTTTTTTTAATGTATTTGGTACAGGAGGGTCTCACTACGCAGCTTGGACTCATAGTGATCCTGCTGTTTTCAGCCTCCCCAGCACTGGGGTTACAGGTGTGCACCCCCACACCCGGTCTCCTTGGCTGGCTCAGCACACCCAGGGGCAGGGCCAGCATGGCATGTGGTGCTGGGGATCGAATCCCCATCCCTGCGCTTGCCTAAGCAGGTGCTTAGTCCACTGAGCTATCTCTCTGGCCCTGTGAGTCATATTTTTATTGATTTAATCTTTAGATAAGGTTTTATGGATTCAGGAGTCCCGTGAGAATTCTTAAAATGTTTAAGTCTCTCTTAGCTGAATTTTTTCTGTGATCCCAGCTTGTCTGAAGCCCCGACTGCCTAGTTTTTAGACTCTGTCTTTCCTTCAATTTCCTAGCCTCAGAAAATCACCTCTTGTAGCTGGCAATACAAAATAGGAAAGCAAAACATCTCCCCACAATGTGTTAAAAAAACAAAAACAAAGAAGTAAAACTCTTAGGCTCTGATTTAAGAGTAAATTTAATTAGAAAATCTCTTTCTTGGGGCTGGAGAGATGGCTCAGTGGTCTAAAGCACCTAGTTGAAACAAGCTTGGCAAAGCAGAGGGACCGCGGTTCGATCCCCAGCACC